CCGAGCGTTCGAAGAAAAATGGACAGTTGAAGAGTGAAACGTTGTCCATCGGCTAGCCGTCGGCCGACCGACGGTGCGAGCAACGACGACGACGACGACGACGACGAAACCGGCTCTACTCATCACCTCATGTACGGCCGATAGACGGATGTGTGGACACACAGACGGCAGAAGTGCATCGAAATCGAAACCATTGTGTTCAGTGTCACCCGAAATACCGGCACCGGGGTCAATTAGGGAGAGAATGTGGGGCGCGGGTAGCGGGTAATTAGTCACCAACGATCGTGCCGCTTTCACGCCGTAAGCACACCTGGCACCACCTGTCTCCACGGCCGCAACCGCCTCTGCCACCGCAAATGAAGGACAGACGGCGTTCTTCCAATGCTACAGTCCTTCTGTTCCCATTTCGCCCTGTCCGTCTGACGTATCGTGTGGTCGTGGTCACTGCCGAAGCAACAGTGGTAAATATGCGAGTGTGTCAGCCAAGGACGAGCTACGTGAATACGTAAATAAGACATGCGTGACGACGGAGGAGTCGGGGACAAGGGGGGGGGTACCGACGCAAGACCAACCGCAAAACCGACCGCGGTTCGACCGACAGACCAGTCCCCATTCGTGGTGGCAGCGGCGGCTACATGTTTGTCCGCACGCTCTCAAGGTTACGAGACGGCTCGACCTCGCGACCGGTCCGTGACCACCACCGGACAAGAGTCCGCCGCAGCGACCGCCGTCGTGCATGATTTACCCACCCTTTGCACTCAGCGACAGAGACGGCTGTAAAAACGTAAATATTTACGCATACTTTCATGTGAGCCCGCTCAGACATTTCGGACGAAAACGCCCTTCTACGACAACCGCAAACGATTACCAAAGAACACTTGGATAACGAGTGCGTTTGGGTGTTCAAGAAAGCAAGATCAGTGCAGGCTTTTGGGGAAGGAAAATTTCAGCATTGGACATCGCATTGACAAATAAGTCTTACAGCGGACATTCTACATAATTCTACAACAATAGAGCACAACAAACGAGGAATGGTGAGACTGGTCACCTGATTTTTGAGGAAGCAAACGAAGCCCTACTGCAACTAAAGAGTGACAGAACTGCAGGAACTGATGCATTCTTCTTCTTCATCCTCGTCGCCCATTGCATCTAGGATGACGCGGGGTGCCCTACAAATATTGCACGTGCATCGACTAAACACGTGCTCTCGTGCCATGTCAATTCAAACGAGATTTTCCCATCTTGGAGGTTTTCCAAGTCATAGCCCATCATCACACTTGGCGTTCATCATCAGCTTTTAAAGACGACTGTCTTTCAGTTGTTGGCAATAGCCAGAAGGCCTGTTTAGTTGAATGATCATTTTCTGAAAACAAATGACCAGGTCTCCTTTCCGGTGGCGGAGACAGGCGCGTCAGACAGTGTTTCCAATGGCCCTGATCTTGTGCCAGAATCTCAGCTTCCGCGGAAGACAACCGAAGTCTAGAACAGATTCCTTCAATACACTTGCTCCAGTTTAATCTTGGCTGTTTCATCGGTCTTCTGCCGGTTCGCTCAGCAATACGTAGTTGCATTGTCATCCTTTTTGGAATTGTTCACAACAGCTAACCAAAAGCCATCGCAGCTATGATTTCTCAATCTGAATAAGCAGCGACTTTATGCCAAGCTTCTCTCGGACTTTTGTACTCTGGATCATTTCGAAACGCGAATTCGACAGCGATTCGTTTCAGAAAGCCCATTTCAACCTCTTGTACCCAGGACTAATGATTTGCAGTGATGGTCTACGACTCATGACCATAGATGAGCATCTGGATGAAGATCAGCTTGAAGGCAGAGGCTTAGTTTTCAGAGACTTCAGCTCTGCTTTAATAAATGATTCGAGCTAATTTACGCAGAACGCCACTGGCAACTCCAATCCGCTGTCGATCTCAAATTTTCTATCACCAGTAAACATGACCCTGAGGCCGGTTGCTTTGGGGAAAGGAGTTCGTGAAATTACTCTTTCTATCGCCGAAGAACGTCATGATCGTCTGGTAGATGGTGTCCAGTCTTATCCTTCAGGACTCTTGCACTGCCGTTCTCTGCACCCCATAGTTACGGAAGGTCTGCCACAATACCTTGCTTCAGCACACACTACCGACTCTACTTTTTCATGAAATAGTTTCAGTTTTCGTCACCGCTTTCGCTGCCGCTTTGAGCGCTTCTGCATATGGCATGCGAGTTGAAGGCCCTTTGCTTCCAAGCCATCTATTGAATGCAGCTTTCTTCTCTTTGACTGCCAGTTGTACCTCTCATGTCCACCAGGAAGTTCACTTCTCAGCTACGGGAGAGAGGCGAACCGATTTGAATCCACGGCATTCGCCGGCAGCCTCGAGTATGCCGCTCTTAAAGAGCTGCCACTCGGTTTCGATATCAGTTGTCATCACTGGGATCTGTTCAAACAGTCGTGCGATGTTGTTTGCAAATTTCGCTTTCGTGTCCACCGAAGACAAAGTTTCCAATATGATTCTCAGGTTGCTTCTGCCATCAGATCTTCGTATGGTATTCCATTTCTTACTGCGCAGCGTGCCAACAACAAGGTGATGATCGGTTGATAGCCTGCTCCTCTTTTAACACGAACATCCATTACTGAGCGTCTTAAGTCAGACGATACGATTATCAAATCGATCATTGACTTCTGTGCACAAGCTTCCCGGTACCAGGTGTACTGATGCACTTTTCGATGCTCGAAGAAGGTGACAGTGTTCATAATGGACAATCCGTCGTTTGCACAAAACCGCAGCAACTCTAGCCGTTATTGTTCAGTCATTAGGGCTGTTCTTGCGAATCACGTCTTTCGATTTTTCAATGTCTCCTCCGACATGTGCATTACAATCGCCCATTAGAACGGGAGAGTCCGCAGTCGGCACTTCGAGCTGAGTACACTCCACTTCCTCAAAGAAGGATTCATATTCTTCCTACAAATTGGATGCATAGACCTGTAACAAGGTGAACGCTTTGCCCGTTTGTAGCCGCAATCGAAAGATTGCCGCTCTTTCGCTGACTAGGCTTACACTGAATGACTTTATTAACCAGATTCGGCTCCAACAGAACACCAATACCGGTCTGAGCGTGAGTTCTGATGTCGACAGCTGAGTAGAATAGCTTCCACTCGCAAATGTTCAGGATTCCAGAGCCTTGGCGTTTGATCTTGGTTTCACGATAGTCCAACTCTGTCAAGTTGATATCTTGCGGCCTCATCAACTTGCTCCTGTTCTTTCTCTCTGAGTGAAGATATGTTCTACTTCTCTCACTTGTGGTGTTGTTCTCGTGAACCAGTTTCTGACGTGCTATAACGGCATCTCGCTTTCTGCCTCCTCCGTTCAGAACGGGTAGCGACTCCGTTGCTGACTGGTATCTTTTCATCGTTCTGACGATCTTCGTCAGCCGTTACTGTACTGCTACACCCCCGACTGGCAGAAGGCAATGAGCAGGTTCTGATGGCCGATTATTCGCCACCTACCTCAGTCTCTAAACGCCTACGGGTCGGCTGGCAACCCGGATAACGACAGAGCCGGTATATTGTTTGATGACAGCAATACCGTGAGGGGCAGATGGCTAAGTTTTAAGTTTACGGCAACTTCCCCACGGTCTCCAATCCTCCTCCCAGGCTTGGGACCGGCAACAGCGGAGTTGAGACAGTTCATTGTAATACTTTGAATTTTTCAGCAGGCCAATAATTTTACACGAGGAACGCGACTGATAGAGGATGGCTCCACACACCTCCTGAGAAGCTGGAGATGTTCTTTTCTTCACGAGGCTGATCGACACCTTCATTCGACGAGCGAATGTGTCATCCGCTGCACACCTTAGACAACACTACGAGAATGTGATTCGATCAGTCAGTCGGTCACTCGGAAGACCTGTGAAGATTTCACCGTTTTGATGTAAGGCAGAGGTTATGTAATGGGTCATGTAGCCGGGGCACTTGAATGTTCCGGAATTTTTGAGCGCGATACCTGTCCCTCCAAACAAGCTGTGATTGACGTGCGCAATAATTCAGATATTCCTGACTGATTCCTGGAACACCGATGATCGCAGAGAAATGACTTCTGGTCCGGACCGGACTGACTGGCCATTGAAGAGCCGAAAGTAAAGCGTGTATCCGCAGAAAGTCAGCCAGTCAACCAATGCTGAATGTTCTGAGTAATAATATCCTGTATAGTACTGTAAACATTCACGTGTCTGTTCGTGGTATGACCAGTGCAGGCAACACTGCACACCGAACGCAGCCGATCGGCCTGCAGGTGCCGGGTGCCTGAGCTACAGTTACTTTCACATAGACGTATCGAAATGTTTTCTATCAGATCAGTAAAACGAGGTGTATTGGATAGCGAGGTACCTGAGAACTAGTGGAAATAAGAGTCGTTGGAGCATGTTTGCACTGATGAATAAGAGCAAGTTAGAGATGATAAAAAAATTATTAATCACTTGTTTCAGATTTGCTTGAGAAGACTGCTGGAATCTACGGCGTCCTTCCTGGAAGTGAAACAAGTTACATTGTAAAGGAGGTTTTACTGAATAGGACGCAGGTAAAAATCAGTACGCAGACATAATCAACAAAGATAATCTCGGTCCAGTGAATAAAAGAAGGAACGAATATTTTGGCGGGATGACGGATGGATATATGGATAAGGGACATCCACCATTCGCTTATTACGAAAGTTCAACAACGATATTATGCAACGTTTTGCCAGTACCGATAGTCATAATATTGAAAAAAAAATTTCAAGCTCTGATTATTATAACTTCGCTAGTCAACAATTTATTGGTTCATGATATAATACACAACATCACTGTGGGTAGCTCTACTGTTTAAGCTTTGCCAGTCTTGGATGACATAACAGAACAAC